TGCTTTATTAAAAAGGAATACACGTAGAAAGCTAATAATTATATAAGTAGCCATAACCTGTCTGGCATATCCAAGGCTGGGGCAAAAATGAAGGCCACTTCCAGCATCAGATACTATCTCTTAGAAATAACAAACTTTTTAATTTCCTATAAACCCTAAAAAGGCGATATATGACCTGCTCTCAAATACAATGTTATTTGGCCAAGATCATCCTTAGAACAATACTCTTCATGACCTATCTACCTATTCATTTCTTTAAAGTGAAGCAAGTCCTAATTTGTTTCACTTACATTTAGGTGGTAAGTTGTTGATAGTGTTCAAAAGAAAATTATCCGTGGGTTTTATTATGTAAAATGAAATATTACATCCTTTTGTGTATTATTTTGTAAAGTAAAAATATACCTGTATTTGTCTTTTCAACACCGTAACAAGTTTACACTTGTACATAAATTAAATATGGCTGCCATCACAGAACAAATGTACTCTCTCTAGCTTTTTACTCACTTTTCTGATTTGCCATGACCTCAAAGTAATAATCAAAACAAAAAAAATAATATGCAAAACTTGTAGTCTATTACAGTGTCCAGATGTAGAAAACAAAATGCACTAATTAGATTGTATTTAAATTATGCCTAAACTAATGCTTACCATTTGTTTTTTTGTCTGGGGAAGATATTAAAGGGACACTAGAGTCACCCAGACCACTTCAGCTCAATGAAGTGGTCTGGGTGCCAGGTCCCTCAGGTTTTAACCCTTCAGATGCTATGTTTCCATTTGGGGTTAAGCCAGCCTCTAGTGGCTGTCTTCCGGACAGCCACTAGAGGTGCATCTGCGCATTATGCCTCCATCGCGCAGAGAGTCCGTGGAAAGCATTGAGAAATACTTTCCTATGGACACTTTGAATGCGCGCGCGGCACTTGCCGCGCATGTGCATTTGTCTCCGCTGACGTCGGACAGGGGAGCTGACGTTGGCGGGGGAGGAGAGGTCACCAATGCCGAGGGAGCCCGGCGCTGGAATAAGGTAAGTGGCTGAAGGGGTTTTAACACCTTTAGCGCCACGGGAGGGGGACCCTGAGGGTGGGGGCACCCTCAGGGCACTATAGTGTCAGGAAAACCTGACACTATAGTGATCCTTTAAAAGGACACTATAGTCATCAGAACCACTGCAGCTTATTGTATTTGTTGTATTTGTTCCCTTCAGACTTTTTGCAGTAAACACTGTCTTTTCAGAAAAAATACAGTGTTTACATTAAAGCCTAGGGTTAAATCCACTGGCCCCTCCTCAGATGGCTACTAGAGGTGCTTCCTGGGGCTGTGCTGCACACTCCACTATCTGCATAGAGACGCTGAGCTTTCCTGATATAACTGCATCGATTCAATGTATTTCTATGAGGAGATACTGATTGGCCAGGGCTATGTTTGACTTGTGCTGGCTTTGCCCCTGACCTGCCTCCTTGACAGTCTCAGCCAATCCTATGGGAAAGCATTATGATTGGCTTTTGTTCAACATTTCTGATTATGTCAGCCAAGCAGGCAGATCAGGGGCAGAGGCAGCAGCTGCAGACTTGAATATGATTTTTCAATATTTAGGGAGGCAAGGGGGGCCACGGAGGTTAGATGGTGATTTTAACACGATAGGGTCAGGAATATATGTTTGTATTCCTGACCCTATAGTGTTTATTTAAAGAGGCACTCTAAGCACCATAACAACTACAGCCAATTGTGGGTATGGTACAGTGGATCTTCACTGCCTGCTCCTCATTTTTTTTGAGTAACTTTCAAAGTCAAATACCTCATCTTGTGATTAAATAATACAGAAGTTATCTTGATGCTCTAACTGCCTATCATTGCCATTCAAGATTTGAACAGATAAAGGTCGAAATGTAATTTTCACAATACTTAAGAGACTGAAGAGGAGGTGACTGTAGGTGCTGAGAGGGTCATAGCTTTTATCAAACTGCTCAAAAATGGTTTGACATAAATGAGGGATGGTGTCCAGAACCGTATAATATGTTGTAGTGGTTATGCTGCTTAATGTATCCCTTTAATTTTGTATAACATATACTGTATATATAATAATTGGAATGTTCACTTAAGTGGTGCTATGTTTATGACAATGAATATCCACATAATGTGCACTTCCTGTCCTTACCAAGAATTGACACCCATATATTTCTTCATAACTGGGGAAAGGCATGTCTCTGTCTTGACAAGGTACACATGTGATTTATTACTACTGTGTAAGAGCACTCAAGTCTGTCTGCAAATCTCACATCACATCCCTTAGTCACTTCCAAGCTCTCTAATAGTGTCTTCATCGCCCAAGATTCCATATGCTGACGGACCATTCATTATTCAAATTGTTTCCATTCTAACAGAGGGATGTATGTAGCATCTTTCATTTACTAGAATACACACTACAGGTCAAAACCTTGAGTACAGTTTGGAAACCCATTTTATTTCATAAATAACATTGGTTTTTACACGTGATAATGAAAATGTTGTTAAATTTATATTTTAATGGTCGGTTTCTAGAGGAAGCGTTACTAGTCAGGGGATCAAGGTTGCCTGTTCACCAGTTAGATGAATGGAAAGCAGATTTTGTTTTCTTATCTAGTTAGATGTCCTTACTTGTCACAGGCAGGAGACCTAATGGATATATTGAACACCATAACCATGCCTGGGCGTTTTAATTGGCCGTTTTAATTGTTTAATATCACCACTGCCAATAGTAATCTGAAACTACTGGCTGAAATTTTCTTTGATGCCTAAATGTGAAATTACTGAAGCCTTAATGAGTAAAGCTCTGTGCATTCTAAAAACTACTTTTTGTCTGAAGCAGGAGAATTGCGGGATTTATAGCTTCATGCCTGGGGAAATCTTTTTTTGCAATTCTACAACAGCTTGGAGTCTACCATTTGCCTTAAAGGAACACTCTAGTGTTAAAAGGTAATACAACATACTTTTTTTTTCTAGGGCTGTGCAGGCTGGCCCCGCCCAGGCTCCACCCCATGGCTGAGATGATCAATATTGACAATCTCAGACAATCCAATGCATTCTTATAGGAAAGCATTGGGAGCCTATTGCACATGCACTGCACAAATCAGCATCTACAAAAGATAGGTGAATGTATTTCTCTCTCCCTCCCCTCCAGGTGCCACCATCCAGTGGTCTTTTGTGTAAAAAAAAAATTAAAATAAAACAGATTGGGAAAAAAAATTCTATTTTAATTCTACAAAGAGAGTAAATTTTCCTACTACATTGAACGTTCGGGATAAGTGCATGTTTGGTGAATTGTTTGTTTCATAGCAATTGAGACATACACAGTGATCATTTAGTTTAACAGGGCAACATCTGCCTCACATCACCCTCACCAAACCCATGTTTGAAAAATGAGAGAAGCAGCTGTACTTCAAATCCTATTATCCTATTGCAGACGGAATGTATCAAATCAGAGGCTAGTTAACACTGTTTACATTGCATCATATCAACTTAAACTATAGTTTTATTATCGCAAATCAATATATAATTGGAAGTGTAGAGATCTAAGCTACTGTTTGGCTTTACTTGATTAGAAAATGTAATTTGTCACAGATCATACAGCAGTTACTAACAGTGTATAATTATTCCATATTTGCAAAAGAGAAGGATCAGGACAGGCCATTGTGTTGAAATTATGTTTCTAAGCAACCAGGGCCTTGCATACAAAAAATCAGATTAATTCAGCATAAATCGGTACTATTAACAATATTGTACTTCCCTAAAATATGCTGTGACCCTTGTTTATCAATCAGTACCATGTGGCTCTGTTTATCATAAGGCAAGGAAACAGTGTTATTTTGTCACCTTTTAATAATGCATACATATTTAAATCCAATTCCTGCTTTTTCTCCAGTAATACAAACATTCTGGAAAGTATAAAAATAGCTGTGCCAACCATGTAAGCTTTTCATATAAGGTTTGAAACTAGTTTTGAATTGTTTCATAACATAAAGAAAGTATACTTTTTTTGCACAAAACAATTAACGTGCATGTCTTGCTTATCTAGATTGCAAAATTTAAACCAAAGTAGTAGATTTGGAGAAATTCTATAATGCCACTATTCTGTTACCTTACGTTATTTTAAAGAGACACTAAGTCACAAAAGGAGGATAATGCGACTACAGCAGGGCTTGACAAATTTGCCAGCTAAAAAAGTTAGGAGCCAGGTTTTTTTTTTTTTTTTAGGTTTTTTTTTTTTTTAAGGCACACTATGGTCACCAAAACCACTACAGATTAATGTAGTTGTTCTGGTGCCTATAGCCTGCCCCTGTAGTCTTTTCAGAGACGTTCAGCATTTACATTGCTGCCTGCTAAGACCTCTAGTGACAGTCACTCAGATGGCCACTAGAGACTCCTGTGTAAGACGGCCATAGAGAACATGCGTAATATCCTCTCAATGCTTTTCTATTGAAAAGCATTGGCTTAGCTGAGATCATTAAGATCTTAGCTATGGAGGCGTGACAAGCAATGGCGAAACCAGCACGGCGTGGGGAAAAAGGTGAGTAAAGACACCAATCATGTGATCGGAGGGGGCAGGTACCTAAACAGACACACACTTCCTGACAGACATACACACGCACACACTGATTGACAGAGACACATACAGACATATACACACACACACAGATAGATATATATATATATACGTATATAGGTGTAGTGGCACTCAACCTTTCATGTTATATACATATAAAAAAAATGCCCTGGTGCAATCCCACGCTGAGTATAGACAATAAATGAAAAAGAGATGCACTCTGCGGTCTTTAGAAAAAAATCACTGGTATTTAATATCCAACAAAGTTACATAAATCCGATCGACGTTTTGACCTATTCAGGTGTTCCTCAAGATCAATTTATGAACATATATGGCAGAAATATATAGGGAATGAAAAAAGGTTACTCACCAATCATGCAGTGTTCCCTCACTCCAGTGGTCCGAACCCAGAAGTGTGCGCGCGTGTGTGTGTGTGTGTGTGTGTGTGTGTGTGTGTGTGTATATATATATATATATATACACACACACACACACACACACACACACACACTTTCTCTAGCATTTCCCTGGGGTCCAGCGGGCTGATATTCCTGGGTGCGAGGGAGCAGTAATCTCCCTGCAGCTCCTCTCTGCTCCCTCGTACTGTCTGCAGTGATGCCAGGGCCGGAATGATGTCAAACTCCGGCTCCCGGCATCATTATACAGCGCGAGGGAGCAGAGAGGAGCTGCAGGAAGATTCCTGCTCCCTCACGCTCTCACCAGTCATGCAGTGTTCCCTCACTCCAGTGGTCTGAACCCAGAAGTGTGTGTATGTGTATATGTATGTGTGTGTATATATATATATATATATATATATATATATATATATATATATATATATATATATATATATATAATCTCTGTATGTATATGTGTGTGTGTATATATATATATACACACACACACACACACACACACTTTCTCTAGCATTTCCCTGGGGTCCAGCAGGCTGATATTCCTGGGTGCGAGGGAGCAGTAATCTCCCTGCAGCTCCTCTCTGCTCCCTCGTACTGTCGGAATGACGTCATACTCCGGCTCCCGGCATCATTATACTGCGCGAGGGAGCAGAGAGGAGCTGCAGGAAGATTACTGCTCCCTCACGCACTACCTCATCATGCCTGCTCCATACAGCCCAGGGCGGCCATCTCAATGCTCTTCAGGGCGGTCGGCAACATGCGGTCCCCATTTCCCGCTAATCTGGCTATTTTGCAAAGAGTTGCCGTCTTATCTGGGACCCCGTTGAGTGCCAAGGGTCCTGCATGGCCGGTGACATACAAATTTCAGGCACCATGACCACTTCAAATCACTGAAATTTTATGTTGCTTTGAGTAACCCGTTCATTGTATTTTATAGATTCTAACCTCATTCATACTGTATTTTTCTACTCATTCTCATTTCTTTAGTATTGCCATAAAATAAGGTATTGCCTCCTTTCAACAAGTTGTCTTCATGATTGAAAGTACTCAGTCTAGCTCGGCCAATGAGAGATCAGTTCAAGAATGATCACTGGAATAAAAAGGAATTTGCAAAAATAATTTGTGTTTGTTCTAAAAGTCAAGTATAATTCTAGCTTTAATTCCAGTGTGCATGGAAAGACTTTTTTTAATATATATATATATATATATATATATATATATATATATATATATATACATATATATATATATATATATATATATATATATCAAAAATCAAGCAAAAAAAATTGCAAAAAAAATGTTGATTCTTGTTTACTGAGCAAGAACAAAACAAAAACCGTTACATTGTAAAGAAAACATTTTAAATAACATTTTTCGCAACATTTTGCCATTTTCCATCAGCGGCTAATGTATGCTGTAGTCTTAACCTTGTAACACGTGCCATTTCCCTAAATTATGCTATACAGTAATACTTCAGCTCTAATATTAAAGGGTTACTGTGAACATTCATAGATATACCATTCTAGCAGCATCATTAGCAGGGTTAAATAATTTACATGTTGCACATGCTGTGCCTGACAAGACATGTACATTAAAATAAAACTGAAACCAGTGGGTTTAAAACCAAAAAACAATAATGTCTACCACAACCGATCGCTAACATTTAGATACAATCTCACCAGTGACAGTGCTTCTTTAAATATTTATTTTGTCTGCTTGGTAGAGACGTTAGACTCCTTATTATAGCAATGTATGTTATATTTTATCACACATTTATAGACCGTGTTACCACACATGATGATTTGTACATTACATTTAAGGGCTTTGTGGATCCCCGCAAACATTAGAGCTTTATCATGTTGCAACATAAAAGTGACATGAAATTCTATGCAGTGTTACTTCTATACCAAGCTTGACACATCCCTTGATCTCCCAAGAGCTGTGGAATCTGCCTGTTTTACTGTGTGACTTGACTTCCCCGCTTCTCACAATCAGCAGCAAACTGTGCAGTTTTTTACATTGTTACTGCAGCCTGTTTCTTTTTCTCTGCTGCGCCTCCCCCCTTCTAGTAGGGGAATGTCTAAATTCCTGTAGCCAATCAGCAGGTCTGACGGTGAGCCCGGGAGATACAGGCTGTGAGGAGACTGCAGACAAATATGGAAAGCTGTCTGCCTTACAAGACAATACCATATTACCTTACTACAGGAGTGATCTAAAGGAGATCACTGGTATTTGGTAAAACTACAGCTCATATGATCCATTGCTTGCTTTTCAATGAATTTTCAACACAATCAAAAGAGATATATATATATATATATATACAAGCAAATGTATGTAGTGGGATGTCTCAAAATGTGTCATTCACTGAATCTCCCACAGTAAAAGCATCATCCTCATAGAGAATAATTGTGGACCTTTTTGGGGTGTGTGTGTGTGTGTGTGTAACAATTGCTATGCTCATCCAAACCAATTATTCCCATAGAGAAGCATTAGAGATTTTCATAAATCCACGTAGAAAGTGTACAGACATTTGCTCAGACAAATGTGAGTGCTGCTCTTCAAAAACGGCACTGTTATACAAGATCTGTACATAAAAACCACTACAATAGCATGTAGTGCTCTTGGTTCTTAGTGTCCTTCCCAGGGGAAAGGGAACTTCAGGCAACCGTGATAATGTGTTATTGGGTTTCTAACCTGACTTTCTATTTTTATTTTATAACTTTGTAGTTTGATTGGAGATTGGATTTGAATCTTTTCATATTGAAAGAGCTGAGTACGTTTACAAACTAGATTTGTCTTTGACAATTGCAAATAAAATATTTTAGGCATGTTGAAATTTAAAAAGGATAACTAAGGGAAATGAAATATTGTTTCTTTACAGGAACATTCCAAGCACCGTAACCACTGCAGCAACGAGTCCACTTTGTGCCTTAGCAGAGTAAAGTTGTCAAATTGTTTTAGAACGCTTTGACAACTTACATGCATTTTTGGAGTGCCAGTGCTGCATTTGGTATTCTGCATCAGTAGTCCATAAGCATAAGCAAGTCCAACAGTGTACTGTAATTATTGACTGGGAGCACTCAACTGCGGCTCTCCTCCAGTAAGAGTGACCCTGCTTAGCTCTGTGGAACTTACCAGAGTGTCCTGCTAGGTAAGTTGCCAACCATTCTAAAAAGATTTGACTACTTACTGTGATTACATTAAAGCAGTCATGGTGGCAATACCACTACCATGAACTATAATTGGTTTGGAGCTTGGAGTGTTCCTTTTAATGTTAAAAGCTAACATTCTTACCCTACTGTATGTCCAGTCTAAAAACAATAGGGTGCATATGAAAACAATTCCCCTAAATGAGTACCGGCAGGTGTTATCTACATTCCAATGTGTGAACCACTTCCTAAAAACTATAATTTACTGTTTAGTGAAAGTGAAAGCCAAGCAGTGTTACTTTTTTATCTCTTTTTCTTCAAAAAGAGAGGTAGGCAGACAATTAAATTCATTAAACTATTATACATTATTGCAAACATCTCCCATGTGGGCAGTGCCTTGTCTTTCAGAGTATTCTGCCGTGTCTCATAATATTTTTTTTTTTCCTGTCTAACACATTTTCTGTCAGATGAAAAAATAATCTTTAACTTTCCTAGGTAATAATTGGATTTTGACCTCCTTTGCAGAAACCTAATTGACAAAGCAGATGTTCTTCAATTCCCCCGGACCACGTTGAAATATTAAAAGCCCACCCCCGTCCTTAGTGAAACAAAAACAAACTGGCAATCTGGCAGTGTCTATATTAATTCTAGTTTATATAATCAATGCGATTATTTTATTTTATTTCTCTCTCTTGTGAGAGAAACTTGATGAACTTCTTTAAGAGCTCATCATAGTTATTAAACAAGAAAGGCTGTGCATAATGGCTTCTTTGGGAGAATGTTTACTTTGTAATATGTTAAAGATTACAGACTCTTTTTAGATTGGATTGCTTGTGATCAGGAGTTTCCACTAAGCAAGGGTAATTATAGCAGATCTGTCACTTTTGAGATAAAAGTATGTTCTCAATTCAGCATATTAAAAATGCTTTTTTAAAATTCATTTTCTAGATAATTTGTTTAATAAGACTACCCTCTGATATGACAAATGTCTTCTAGAATAGTTCTGATAACATCTTGTGCAAATTAACTTTTTCCTTGATTTATTTTTTTATTTTTTTTGTTTAATCAACTTTTGTGATTCTACACATATTGCGGTTTTTGTAAATTGTGTTTTGCACCTCTTAAATTGGACATAGACCAGCACCCCACCAGTTTTTATGTGAGGGGAATAAATATTTGCAGTAGTTTATAAACTCTAATATTTTTTTTCTGGGGAATAGTTGGTAAGCCAAAGAAAAAAAAAAAAAGGGTAAATTAAAGGGACACTATAGTCACCCAGACCACTTCAGCTCAATGAAGTGGTCTGGGTGCCAGGTCCCCCAGGTTTTAACCCTTCAGATGTAAACATAGCAGTTTCAGAGGAACTTCTATGTTTACATTGCAGGGTTAATCAAACCTCTAGTGGCTGTCTTCCTGACAGCCGCTAGAGGCGCTTCTGCGACGCTGGATGCGAAATTCGCATCCAGCGTGCAGAACGTCCATAGGAAAGCATTGAAATGCTTTCCTATGGACTGTTTGAATACGCCTGCGGCTCTTGAATGCGCGTGCGGCGCTGGATTGAAGTAACTAACTAAAGGGGTTTTAACACCTTCAGCGCCAAGGGAGGGGGACCCTGAGGGTGGGGGGTCCTAAGGATGCTATAGTGTCAGGAAAACTAGTGTGTTTTCCTGACACTATAGTGATCCTTTAAATTAAATGGGGCACTATAGACCCCAGAACAACTACAGCTTATTGTATTTCTTCTGGCTAGTAGAATCATTCCCTTTAGTCTTTTTGCAGTAAACACTGTCTTTTCAGAGAAAATGCAGTGTTTACATTACTGCCTAGTGATAACTCCTCGGGTGGCTACTAGAGGTGCTCCCTGGGGCAGTTGCACACTATGCAGTACTGCCATTCAGTGTCTCCACCCTCTGCATGCAGACACTGAACTTTCCTCATAGAGATGGATTGATTCAAT